CCGTAAGATTTCAATCTTCTTTATGAGTCTTGATACGAAGTAAACATTGAATCAAACCGTTAGATTTCAATCTTTTCCGTTGGTTTTGATTCGAATTAAACAATTAAATCAAACCGTTAGATTTCAATCTTCTCTACGAGTCTTGATACGAAGTAAACAGTAAATCAAACCGTTAGGTTTCATTCTTCTCCACGAGTCTTGATACGAAGTAAACATTGAATCAAAACGTTAGATTTCTATCTTCTCCGTGAGTTTTGATACGAAGTAAAAAATTAAATCAAATCGTAAGTTTTTAATCTTCTCCGTGAGTTTTGATACGAAATAAACATTAAATCAAACCGTTAGATTTCAATCTTCTCCGTGAGTTTTGATACGAAGAAAACATTAAATCAAACCGTAAGATTTCAATCTTCTCCGTGAGTTTTGATACGAAGTAAACATTAAATCAAACCGTAAGATTTCAATCTTCTTTATGAGTGTTGATACGAAGTAAACATCAAATCAAACCGTTAGATTTCAATCTGCTCCGTGAGTTTTGATACGAAGTAAATCATAAATCAAACTGTTAGATTTCAATCTTCTTTACGAGTTTTGATGCGAAGTAAACATTAAATCAAACTGTTAGATTTCAATCTTCTTTATGAGTCTTGATACGAAGTAAACATTAAATCAAACCGTTAGATTTCAATCTTCTCCGTGAGTTTTGATACGAAATAAACATTAAATCAAACCGTTAGATTTCAATCTTCTCCTTGAGTTTTGATACTAAGTAAACATTAATTCAAACCGTAAGATTTCAATCTTCTTTATGAGTCTTGATACGAAGTAAATATTAAATCAACCCGTTTGATTTCAATCTTTTCCGTTGGTTTTGATTCGAATTAAACAATTAAATCAAACCGTTAGATTTCAATCTTTTCCGTTGGTTTTGATTCGAATTAAACAATTAAATCAAACCGTTAGATTTCAATCTTCTCTACGAGTCTTGATACGAAGTAAACAGTAAATCAAACCGTTAGATTTCTATCTTCTCCACGAGTCTTGATACGAAGTAAACATTGAATCAAAACGTTAGATTTCTATCTTCTTCGTGAGTTTTAATACGAGGTAAAAAATTAAATCAAATCGTAAGTTTTTAATCTTCTCCGTGAGTCTTGATACGAAATAAACATTAAATCAAACCGTTAGATTTCAATCTTTTCCGTGAGTTTTGATAAGAAAAAAATAAATCAAACCATAAGATTTCAATCTTCTCTGTGAGTTTCAATATGAATTAAACGTTAAATCAAACAGTTAGATTACGATCTTCTCCGAGAGCTTTTATACGAAGTAAACATTAAACAAACCGTTAGGTTTTAATCTTCTCCACGAGTTTTGATAGAAGTACACATTAAATCAAACTTTGGATTTCAGTCTTCTCCACGAGTTTTGATACGAAGTAAATCATTAATCAAACTGTTAGATTTCAATCTTCTCTACGAGTTTTGATGCGAAGTAAACATTAAATCAAACTATTAGATTTCAATCTTCTCCGTCAGTTTTGATATGAAGTACTCATTAAATCAAACCGTTAGATTTCAATCTTTTCAACGAGTTTTGATACGAAGTTAACGTAATATCAAACCGCTAGGTTTCAATCTTCTCCACGAGTTTTGTATTTCAGTCGTTATTATGAGTTTTGTTACAAGATAACGTCAAGCTACTAGATTTCATGAATTTTGAGGTTCGATGTTTACTTTAAATCCAACTGTTAGATTTCAGTCGTCTAAATGAGTTTTGATACAGACTAAGCTGTAAATCGAATAATCAGATTTTTTTTTCGCCTAGAGTTTCGATACGACATTAACTATAAATCACCATGAGAGATTTTAGTCTTCGCCATGAGTTTTGGTTCGGTGTTATTTTCTCCATGAGTTTTGATTTAATGATGTCTTCTCAATGACTTTTGATAGGAAGTTAACTTAAATCAAACTATTAGAAATCAGTCTTTGCCATGAGTTTTGATTCGGTGTTATTTTCTCCATCATGATTTTTGATTCAATGTTGTCTTCTCAATGAGTTTTGATACGAAGTTAACTGAAAATCAAACCGTTAGATTTCAGTCTTCGCCATGAGTTTTATTCGGTGTTATTTTCTTCTTGAGTTTTGATTCGATGTTATTTCCTCCATGAGTTTTGATTTAATGTTGTCTTCTCAATGAATCTTGATACAAGGTTAACTGTAAATCAAACCGTTTGATTTTAGTCTTCGCCATGAGTTTTAGTTCAATGTTATTTTTTACCTGAGTTTTGATTCAATGTCGTCTTCTCAATGAGTTTTGACACAAGGTTAAATGAAAATCACCCTGTTAGATTTTAGTCTTCGCTAGGAGTTTTGATACAAGGTTAAATGTAAATCAAGGCCTTAGATTTCTATCTTCTTTATGAGTTTTGACTCAACGTTATATTATCAATGAGTTTTGATACGATAGTATCAGTAAATAAAACCGATGGATATCTGTCTTCTCATTGAACTATTAGACTTATCTGCCTTATATCTTGACTAACATCTAAAAATTGACAATGACGGTCGGGTGAAAACAAACCTTAACGACAAAAGAGATGATTTCAGTTCCAATTGTGAACTTTTCATTTCTATGTAGCAACATTCCAGCAGCACCTGCATACGGAGTATATATCTCCCAGTTGATACCAATATTGCATGCAGAAATATGTGAACTTGCTGTTTCCAGGCAATTTCACTTCAGAAACGTCGTACTGTCCTTAACAAAGTACAGGCAGACGGGATTTGTTGATGACCATCCTTGACCAGATCAATATGTAGTGACAACGAAACGTCTATAAAATATGATTATGTAACATGTTTCCGGCTGCAACATCAACTGCTTATCTAGTCGTCGAATGTCATGGTAGACATATTCACTCCAAAAATGTAGCCCATATACTAAAATGCCAAAGAATTGACTACATAAAAACATTTAAAGCCCTAAAGTTTAAACCGCTTAATTGCCAAAACACTCTGTTATGCATGGAACGAATGCAAAACCAGAAGGCACAAAACAGAACTGAAAACATGCCCAACAGAATTGGTTGCCCTTTCTGACAATCATTTTGGCGTACGTTACAGGCAGTCATTGTCTTCAACGGTGGCACATCCAATGTTAAGGGGAAAACCAGGGTTTCAGTGCATACCACATGATTTGAACATTAAAAATGACGTAATCAGTTGAACTTTTGAACTGCAAACTTTTTTTTAGATAATAAAGAAATGAATAAAACTTATGTTTATATAATTATTTTACAAAGATTGCATATTTGAAAATGGGAATAAAAACGAATAATCTGGTATTGCGTTTTTAAAGTCCGTCAGTATATCAAGTGTTGAAAAGTACTACAGTCAGGAAACTAACATATTCTATCATGCAGATAAAGGCAACTGTTAAATTTTAGTTTTATTCTGCGATTATCTTAGAATACACTTTTACAACAGTTGTCTGCTGGTTTGAAACTTATAAGATTGAAACATTTTCATCGCATAGAAACAAAGATATTTTGCCTTTGAAATCTGTCAACGTTAATGTTATCTTAGTTAGAGATAATACGATACCACACTTCTTTATATCAAAATGTATTTAAATGATTTGACTTCATATCGTGTAAGTATTTCATAAAATGTTTTTAGATTGGTTGGTTTACACACAATCATTTTTCCATTGTTGTTTTAAAATCATGAGTCCAGATTTCCATTGCAAGGGTTGAATTCATAACCAGAGCTTATTATCCTTTGATGCACTCAGTATCGCTCCTTTGTACTTTTCGTTGTACATTGTTTTTGTGTTATTCCAGTGGCTTGGATATTTAAAATGGATTTGTAATTTTTGTACATTATTTAGCCTCTTTTACAATATATTTTCTTGAGTTTTTATAATATACTATAATATTTAATTTTTAATTAACACTCTCTGCATGTCTTTAGAATACAGTGCCGGGGGGGGGGGGGGGGAGAGAATATGCAAAATTGTAGTTCATTAACATATGTGAGAATTTTCTTGATAATGAATAGTCTGATATTTAGTGCATAACGTTCGATAGTTTTTTTGTATAATTGTCAGGCATGACAAGTTTGGAAGTATTTACCACTGCAAGCATTTTGAATGCTAAAACATATATATAATGGAAATTCGTAACGTACTACTACTGATATCTGATAGACTTACTTGTGAAAACAAGAAAATGCACAATAAAATTGAGAATGGAAATGGGGAATATGCCAAAGAGACAACAACCCGACCGAAGAGCAGACAACAGCCGAGGGCCATCAATGGTTCTTCAACGCAGCGAGAAAATCCCGCACCAGGAGGTGGTCCTCAGCTGGCCCCTTAATAAAATTGTGTACTGGTTCAGTGAAAATGGACGTCACACTAAACTCCAAAACATTTAAAGGAACTAAAATTAAAAAAACATACAAGACTAACAAAGGCCAGAGGCTCCTGACTTTGAAGCTCCAGACCTCAATACAAGCCTTTTCACTATGATTATGTTATAAATTGTATATAAAGAAGAACTGTTAACAATAATTTAAATTATTTTATATGATATAAGTAAAGAGTTAATAATTCTCTTTTCTTTTTAATTTATATGTTTTGATTTCAATACCTAGAAAACATACTTTTTATTCAATTGATTGAAAGCGATATCAAAGGATATTTATAACTTTTCATTATTCTTTGCAAAATGTTTAATTAGTTAAATTTCTAAATGACTTTCTCAGACATATTTTTTGGTCTTGAAACATACAGATTTAATTATGTTTTATATCGTTCCCAATATTTCATTTTAATTGCCAAATTAGTGACTTCTCATCTGAACCTGAAACATTTTAAATAACAATTGATAATTCTATCGCTTAATGCACTTAAACACGAAAACAGTTTCTCTTTATGTAAGAAATTTTTGTGACGTGTTCTTTATAGTCGATCATTACACTATAAAGCTCTGTGTACTGCAGCGTCCTATCTCATTCCAGTAGTTGTCAACGTCAACAGTGGGTCTCTATTTGAGTGGGAAATTATTTACAGCAAGTTCTAATCGTTTGCAAAGGTAAATGTTTTTCATTTGCTTTATATAGTATATTTAACTAAGGATGCTGTTATCAATATTTAAACATTTACAATAAATAGGCCATATATTACGTATAGTCAATCAATTAATTGAATCATAATCGTAATAGACCAAAAGTAAAATCACAAAAATACTGAACTGCGAGGAAAATTCAAAACGGAAAGTCCCTTATCAAATGGCAAAATCAAATGATAAAACACACCAACGCTTGCAAAATATAACTCTGAGTTCGGTGTATTGAACACTCAGTTAGTTTCGAAAATCCAATTTGATCGACATTTAATTTATAAATCTTTGATAGACTATTTAAAAGTTGATGACTAGAGTCCCGTAAAGATTTTAACATATTTGATGATACAACACCTCAAGGTATCCCTTTCTGTTATTTTTGTTGTCTGTGACGCTAATTCGGCTTATTCGTCTTTGGACGTTAATAAAATCAAGAAGAGCCACTCAGACGCATAAAATTTAGTAAGTGTTGTATTCCCTTTTTATCTCAATATTTTATGATTCGTATTACTTTTCATCGGATGGACTTAATGAATTCGATTTTCGATGTGAAATAACGATATATATAAATAGCATACTTTTCCTTAAACATAATATAATACATTGAGCACGTAGTAGGATATAACTAAACAAAGAAAGGTTCAGAAGGCTCACATATTTATACAAACACAGAAACATTGAAATATTTGAGAAAACCTGTGTCTGCATAAAAAAGTGCAAATTCATGATTCTTATTGAATGCATCGTTTGGATTTATTCAATTGAACCCTTTACCTACAGTTAGATAATTTCATGCATTACTAATATCACACATATGGTTGTTTCAGTGAAAACAAATATTATTGATGTTTCCATTGATGGTTATAAGCCTGGTACCTTTGATAACTTTAATCATCAAGAATAATTACTCAATCTGTGTTTCACCATGAAAAAGATTTGATCATGGTTTAACAGATGAATCAAATATTAAACGGGAACAAATGAAATTGAATTATCTTTTTATGCAATTTGGTACAGTGTGTCAAGCTTAATACTTTTTTTTACTTTTTAATCCATAAGTTATTATTAAGCAGGTTGGTTGTGTTAATGATGTATTACATCTTCACACTAATACACAAGTAAACCTGCAAGATGATGCAAACATGTGTTCCGTGTTCATGAAATACACCAAAAAAGTCTGACAGACAAACAAGGTTTAAAAAGTAAATGTTTAAATAATGCCTATCTGCGACTAGCTGTTGATGTATAATCATATCCTTTTTTTTGTCAAAAAAAGAACAAGTGTATGAATAAAAAGTTATGTTGACAAACGTCAAAAATAGAGCAATTCAATTAAGAATTTGTCAATGTAAGAAGAAAACAGTGTAAACGAAATAAAATACAGTAAATGTGGACTGTACTACGCATGTCCTTTCTAAGTGTACCTGCATTGTTAAGGGTATATTGGTGATAAATAATTAGAGTTCAATTAGAAATAGAAAAAATTCGTTCACAATACATACACTAATAAAGACTTTCGTGTTTGTTTGATTTTTCAGCACCAAAAAAATCCGTTATAATGTTACATAAACATCCTAAGATGATGACAATCGTGGTATTAATTGGCATATGTGCATGCTGTTTTAAAGATTCTTTAGCCAGACATAACCCATATACACCAACTCAATATCAGAAAAAGATTGCTCAAGGATTTTCCACGAACTATTTCAAAACCCTCAATTTCGATAAGTACAACAAGAAAAACTTAGATGATGTTTACGAACGAGGTTTCCGTAATTTACGATTACGATGTAGAGCAGATCTTGATAATTTGAACATGGCTGTCTTTTTAAACAATTTAGAAACTGTCGTGGACGATTGTCTTGCTACGAACATTGCTCCAATAGTTTCTTGGATCCATCACGATGCCGAAGCTTTCGCTACTGAATCACATCGAACAAAATATTTGGAGTGGTGGACTAGTGTTGCTGAAAAGTTGAAAGATAAAGACTACAGACTTTCATTCAATCTATTTACAGAACTTGGAGTTGACTTATGTGAAAATGCATGCGCAGAAAGTCTTAGAGAAAACACAGCAAAATACAACGATTGGACATCTGCTGTCGTAAAAAAGATAAGAGAATCTGGCGGAAAAAATGCTAAAAGGATCGTTATTCTAGGTTCTCCTAAAAAAACTGCAAAAGGGTTAGAAGAAATAGACCAAAACATTTATAAAAACGATCATTATATGATGGCAGAGTGGCATATCTATGCATCCGGACCAAATAAAAAACTAATAAACGACGGAAATCCAGGTCAAAAATATTGGGCTGGTACTGGAGACAATTTTGGAAAAAGCAATATCATGACTGCAATTGGATATGCCAACTATTTTACATCATTTTACAATTTGACCACTTATCTTGGTGCTTGGATGCCACAAGCTAATGAATTCGGGGACTTGAATCAAACGGAAATCATTAATTTTGGAAAATATTTTGTCCAAGTAGTCAAACCGATCCCTTGGTCCATGAATGTTCTTGATATATACTACGATACAAAGAACAGCAATTGGATATTGAATGAACAGGTTATCAAAGGTCAGACATTAAATATGTCACGAGTTCTGGATGACATTATATCGGTTATGTAATGAATTCAAAGAGACATTCCTTCTTCCATGGTATTTACATGCTCATATGAGCACTGAAGACATTCATAATAATTAAATCATTTATTCCATATTCAATAACTTTCCGAGGAAAATTTATAATACTGCTAAGAAATGAAGTTCCTAGTGACATATCATACTGAACAAATAAACTAGAAACACGAAGTGTGCAGTATTTTTGAAAAGCAGAAATTTTAAAAAAGAAAATTAAGGTACTTCAAACGTTCTGCAATTTTTATAAACAAATAAAAACGTTTATTGTATCCACTAAAAGAAAGTTAAAAGTCATCAGTGACGTCATAAAATTAAAAATTGTACATGTTAGTTGTCTCTATATTGAAGAGTGTCTTTGATATATTATGAGGTTTTCTAACCCAGAGTTTTTCTTATATGATTCAATATTATTTCTCTTTTTTCTTATTTGCTGTTTTGTCATATGATTTAGATTAGTTTTACTTGGTGTTTTCTGATGCAGTATTTTTCTCATGTAGATTCATATATTTTAACTTCTCTCATGTATCAGCTTTATTTCCATAATGTCAACGAATATATTTTCGTATCATATAATGGAGTGCGGGTTTTTTTACTGCGAAAGAACATTCATTCTTGGGGTACCAATTTTTGTGGTTTTCGTGGATGGCTTTATCCACGAATTTAAATGTCCAACGTAATATAACAACTGTTGTTTTATTCCAGACATTTAAAGATCCCCATGTAGGTTCGACTACATGGATTCTTTCATATTAGCCAACGCAATATGAACTAAATATACACTTTTTGTACAACTTCAGACCGGATTTTACACATTTAATCTTTGAAAATCTAAAATGTACGTCTGCTAACCTTTTAATTCTCTTTGAGTTCTACAATTCAAAGTACATTTGAAGAATTATCTTATATGTAACCGTTTTCGTTAGTGACATGTTCATGGCCCAGTTAATACCTTTGATGACCGTAAACATGTTCATCATTCATTCGGGAGATAATATGTGTCATATATAACTTCTGAACTGTTTACGCTGTATTTTCCTTCAATCGAGACAATTTTTAAGCATAGATGAATCAGCTTATTTCCAAAAGCTGTTAGAAATGAAAGAAAACAAGTGAGTGAAAACGAACACTTTATTTTACAATGTCCAACAAATCATTATAAAACAACATATGATTAATATGATTAATATCACGAATATTCCTTTTTGCAGTCCTCAAATTCGTCCATTCATTGTTTTTTTTTCTTCAAGAAACTAAAATCGAACATTTAAAAACCTACGAACAGGTTACTTTTTAGCTGTAAACAGGGGAATTGATACCCACGAATAAAATTTCTTTCACAGTAATGTTATTTTCCTACATATTATTACTTACTTTTTAAACGTGTATTTGGTTACCATGTGGTTAATAAATAAAGGCAACAGTAGTATACCGGTGTTCAAATGTGTTTATATGCAAAGGTAAATAATTTCATTTGTGCAGTAAAACAATATTTTCAATCAGATTGTTATGAAGGTGTTTGTTACATCCAGTTAAAAGGCGCAGAATATCTGCAATGTTGTTCTGGCTTTTGCTTCAATGAATAAAAATGATACCTTCAACATGAGATTCACGCTCTGGCATCTGATCGTGTTTATGTTGCCAATATGTTACCGTTATGAAAACATGTATGTGACGGAAATAAAAGAAAGCAAGCTAAACAAAAAATACGAACGGCACCTAGAGGAGAATCAATTTTCATTTAACAGAAACAAAAATCAAACCTCGAGTCCAGTAAAATTACATGTGAAAATGGTACATTATCATAGACTTTTGGTCAGCAAAACGATACATAAGTGACAGAAGACATACACGTAAAGATGTAACCATAGACACGAATCGTGTCTTTAGCCAGGCATAGAGATCATTGATGGGTTCAAATTAAAGTTGGTTTTCTTTCATTATTTCTTAACCAACTGCCTATTGGAAGAAACAAAAAAAAAAAAACGTATTTAAAAGACATGCCTATAAAATATTCTGATTACCACCATTAAAAAGTTAAATCACAAAAATACTGAACTCCGAGGAAAATTCAAAACGGAAAGTCCCTAATCAAACGGCAAAATCAAAAGCACAAACACATCAAACGAATGGACAACAACTGTCATATTCCTGACTTGGTACAGGCATTCTCTTATGTAGAAAATGGTGGATTGAACCTGGTTTTTTAGCGCTAAACCTCTCACTAGTATGACAGTCGCATCAAATTCCATTATATTGACAACGATGCGTGAATAAAACAAACAGACATAATAGGTAAAAATGTCAAAATAGGGATACAGCAGTCAACGCAGTGTCACAATCCTAATCACTACAAAAACAAACAAATATTTAACAAAGAAGCACAAAAAAGCATATATCACATTTTACAACCTCGTTCATTGCTTACTTATATCTGTATTTTATTTATGTATGCCAAATCAACCCATAAAAGATCGAGGGATTTTAAGCACTGGGACCGAATCGTAATTTTAACATTAACTCTGGCGTAGAATCGCGTGTTTGACGTCAGAATGTAAACGTCACACAGGTAGAGATATAAAATAATTTTGTCGTTCAAAGTATGCAAAAATTATAATAGAACAATAAAACAGTGGTGGGATGTTTAAAGTACAGAGACACGTCATATGTATCAATGAAACATAAAAAGTCACACGGACAAAGCACACAAGTAAAAATGAAAAATAATACAAACAACACAATGACGGGATGCATAAGTACAGATCCACGTCAAATGTATATCACCAAAAACAGATATAAGTTGGGAAATGTGTATCCCATATGCAGGTGAAGTTGGTATATTGCTACTAAGTTGGGGGAAATTGATAATTTTAAAATTAAAATTGTCTCGTTTGTCATAGATTCTGGTACTGAGGTGACTGTGTATGACAAATTCGAGGTATAAGTCTAAAAATGAGGCGGAGGAAGCCGTGTCTGTTGTTTATTTTAACTGTTATTCACACCGTTGATACGAAGTAAACATTAGATCAAACCTTTAGTTCCAATCTTCTCCACGAGTTTTGAGACGAAGTAAAGATTAAATAAAACCGTTAGATTTCAATCTTCTCCATGAGTTTTGATACGAAGTAAAAATATTTTTTTTAATGTAACAATATCTTTATTGCAGTTTTTAACTTAGTATCCCTCATGTTTGTTGTCTTCTCTGTGCGTTTTGATACGCGGTTTACTGTTAATCAAACCGTTACTTTCAGTCTTCATGAGTTTTGATTCGGTGTTATTTTTTCCATGAAATGTGATGCAGTTGTGTCTCCTCAATGAGTTTTTATATGCGGTTCACTGTGAATGAAACCGTTAGATTTTAGTTGTCGTCATGAGTTTTGATGATTTTCTCCAAGAAATTTGATGCAATATTTTCTTCTCAAGTTTTGATTCGTGGTTCACTGTAAATTAAACAGTTAGATTTCAGTCTGCTCCATGAGTTTTCACACGAGGTTAAATGTTAATCAAAGCCTTGGATATCTGTCTTTAAAACTGAGTTTTACTGTGTGTATTGCTGTTTGTTCGTTTAATCTGCATTGCCTAGCGGTATAGGGGAAGGTTGAGATCTCACTATACATGTTTAATCCCGCCGCATTGTTGAGCCTGTCCCAAGGCAGGAACCTCTGGTCTTTGTTAGTCTTGTATGGTTTAAATTTAGTTCATTTATGTGTTTTGGAGATTAGTATGACGACCGTTTTCACTGCACTAGTACACATTTTTGTTTCTGGGCAAGCTGAAGCCCGCCACCGGGTGCGGGATTTTTCCGCTGTGTTGAAGATCCATTGGTGGACTAGGGCTTGGTCTTGCTCTTTGGTATGACTGTTGTCTCTTAAACAACCTCGTCCTTCCCAAGTTTCTCAGCCTCATACAAAAAAGTTTATATTTTTCTGACATTGACCTAATATTGTATATATAGCTTTGTGTTTAACATCATTTATACGAGAAAATTCTTTAGTCCCCAAAATAGAGACACCATAATCAATCACTGACCACACAATTGAATTGTATTCAAGTATTTATACATACTTGGCTGTTTAGTTTATGGGTTTGAGCATATCTGGTGTAACTAACTCCGAAAATTGCTTCCAATAATCCATATGTATGAAGAAGTATTTTCATCCTTTTGCGGTATATGTCGGATTTGCTGTGGATTCATTCGACTGTCATGTGAGAAGTGTATCTAGCTATAAAACCAGGTTAAATCAACCATTTTTTAAATAAGAAAATGCCTGTACCAAGTCAGGAATAAGACAGTTGTTATCCATTCGTTTGATGTGTTTGAGCTTTTGACTTTGCTATTGAATTATAGACCTTCCATTTTGAATTTTCCTCGCAGTTCGGTATTTTTGTTATTTTACTTTTTTCAATGTCTTTTTGTTATGAATTTTAAATAATGTGTTTTGCGTATAAAGACAATATTGCATGAGAATTATTCTGCTGGAACAACAACATATTTGATACATACCAGAGGAAAAAGCCTCAATGAAGACCGGTTTCTTAAAAAGGTGAGAAACCAATGTGTTCATGGTAGATCGTAGTTTTTAACTTCTCTTCTGAATGATTGACCGAACACCTTTTATCAATCAAGATAAAACATTTGTTCATGCGCTTTATCCGTTTTCTGGCATATGCATCAACCGCCACTAGCAGTTACCTGAAATCTTTCTTCCAGTTGATGGGCCATGGAATTCGATATTTAATGCCTTTGTCTAACAACTCTCTTAGTTGTTAAATGTTTACGAGACAATGATCTTCGGTTATACATGACCAGCAAGACTAATCTTTTTTTTTAATTTTGGGACAAGTGGGAAGTTAAATTGTTCTATCCCTTGTGATAAAAATCACCTATATCCTGTTATGGTCAAGCAAAATAACATGTGCAGTTTTAATTTTGCAGTAATCAGGTATTGTGTTTCTTTTGGTAGCAAAAATGTTAATGCTGATAGCATCCAAATTCTTATCAACGAATTCTACTTTCAAAAGTACTTTTTTATCATTTTTGGAGGTATTTGTCACGAGTTTTAATAGTCTATGATTACAAATGTCCATTAATATTGCAAACAGTCAGTACTAGACAGATTATTTATACTAATGGAAGTAATTTTTCCCTCTTGAATTGAGTATAACAGTACAGAAAATAGCTTAAAATGAAATTCGTGTATACCCGAAATGTTTTAGCAGAGGACAATCTAAAAACACAGATTGAATCCTAGGTAGTGTACACTGCAAAACCAATGACTCATATTGCTTCAAACAGAGATGTGAAATATTTCTAATTTGTTGATACCTAGAATGAAAGAAAATATCTTCACCATAACTGTTTTCACCGCATTCTGAAGGATTAACGTACTATAGTCATCGAATTTAAATTGTTTTTCTTTGTATTATATATATATTTCTCTTTATCCTTGAACCTGCCTCGGTAGTCTAGGAGTAGCGTGGTCGCCTCGAGAACGGGAGGTCGTGGGTTCGAACCCCGGCTGGGTCAAACCAAAGACTTTAAAATTGGTATTTGCTTCTTCTCCGCTAAGCACGCGGCATAAAGGAGTAAGAGCAAAGACTGGTCGGCTCGGAGTCAGAATAATGTGTCCGGGTAAGATAACTTGTCTTCCTGAGGATTGTTACCTTGTGAACTAGCACGCTAAAATCCGGATCAGCGTGTCGGCCTAGTACAAAGCAGGGTTAATATTCATAATACATTAACATGTTCTCGTCCTGAATATGCATATTAATTTGCCGCTGGACGTTAAGCAGCCATCCATCATCATCATCTCTATATCAGGTATTTGTTAATACTACTGCTGGTAGGGTCTTTACCATTAGACCGGAGATCATTCGTTCAATACTCTTCATTCAAGAAACAATAAATTAGCGACAAGAACAATAATTTAGCAACAAGAACAATCCTTTATCGACAAAAGGACTAATTATAGCGACAAGAAAATAAATTTAGCGTCAAGAAATTTAAACGTTAACTATTTTCAAATAAAATGAATATAGAAACATGCTTTGAAGTTTGTTTTTTAATATACTTGTATTTTAATCATTTCATTATACTGTCAGAATAAAATATACATTTGTTCAAAGAAAAGAGTTTTTTTATTATTGAGGAAATGTTTATGATTCAATATTTGAAAGTTTACAGCATAAATAGTGTATAAATGAACGAAGAGGAGGAATTCTTAATTTTTTAAGCCATTCTTTATGAACACTTAGTTTAATCAGTTTATTGATGGATCAGCTCATACCGTATTCTCTTATATTTATAGTAATTGGCATGTGTTTTTATTTGCATAATCTATTTATCAATTGCTTCACTGTTGTGACAATATTATGATTCTGGAATTGTACATGTAGCAATCTAAAATTTTCATATTCCTAATACTTAAA